TTTTTCGCTGGGAGGGGGGGGGAAACAATTTTCAGTTCTTTTTCTCTGCATTTTGACAACTCACAGTTAAGCCGATCTTTTCTTTTCTTTTTCCATTTTTGCGGATGGTCGCTTTATCACTCGGTGACGTCTGGTGGCTCCGCTAAACCCCGTTCGGGGTCGCTCACGCAGCAAGGTCCATTGGGGCAGGGCATGGCGGGAGCCTCGCTCTCCGACCTCTCGGCCGAAAGAGCGACTCCCCCCTAGTGCGCCCTAAAGCGCCCCGGATCCGAGCTCCTCTCTTCTGAGGGGCTCGTTCGGGTCTCCGCTCGCGCGGATTCCCTCCTCCACCGCGGGCGGGCGAGGCGCCCTCGGGAGCGACCCGAGGAAGCGTCCGCCATGCACGGGAGCCAGACCGGAAGCCGATAATACTGACGAAACTTTAAAAGATGTACACCAAGATATGAAGTGCTATATAAATTAATATTAAGTATTAATTTTACACAACAGAGTCCCATTAGAACACACAAATGTTGGTCACCACCAAAAGGCAACACCAAAAAGAACTTCTGGTGTGGTTAGAAATATGAAAACCTTTAACTTTCTTTCATAATGGGCAGGGCACTTTTTATTTAGGTAAGTAAACAATATTGTTAGGTTAAAAGCAAATGGCTTGTGGAAAAGTACACACCATTGTGTGAGAAAGGTTAAGAGAGAGGGAAAGGTTAAAAAGGGAAGAAGGATTATAAAGGGCATATGTTTGTTACATTTTCCCATACATATCCAGTAGTGACTTTTGTTCCAGTGATCATCTACTCAGTCCTAAATTTGAGGGGGAAATCTCTACCTACTTGCTTTGTGGAGCAGGAGGGCAATTTACTGCGCTCTGAACCTGGGACCTTGGAGCCGAGCCATTGGATCAATTCACCGGAATGATCCTAAAGGTTGCTTGTGTAGAAGATATCCCTTGCAGAACTAGCCTGCCTCTATGTAAATTGCTTGCAAGAAACATTTGACTGTCTTAGGGACTTTGCCCTCAGTTGCTGGTGTTCGGGTCTGCTGAAGGCTGTCACAAATGTGAGAAGTCTAGGAGTGCTGGGTGCAAAAACATGTTTCTGTTCCCTCCCTTCCCAATTCCTGCCTTATTCAGTCCCAGGAAGTGCAAGATGTCATATTGCCTAGGTTGATAAAGAGAAGATGGACGTTTCTGGGGTGGAGGAGAGGTGTTGAGAAGAAAAGAAGTAGAAGAAATAGAGCTATCCCATTCCCACAATCATATATTCACCCCCTTACCCCCTCCCTTATTAACCTAACAGGCCCTTAGTTAATTGCAGTAGTGGCAAGCCAGACATAATGTTAATAACTAGTATTTTCTCCTCCTGTTTTGCCAAAGTTTGACTTCAAGAGTATTTAATGAAACATTTAGTGGACTACATGCATATGAACATAGATGCAGTACTTACTGAACCCTTTCCCATGTTCACTTATGCACATCTTTTATCCTTTTCCATTTTTATTTGGCCACTGGCCCAGCCTCCAACACTACTACATGCTATGTTGTTTAATTACCTCTGTAGTTGTCCCAATGTCAGCAGAGGGGCTACATGTGCTGGTATCTGGTGGAGCTGTCCCAACACTGCTTTTAACAGGGGAACTAGGAAGTGCAGGCCCCGAAATGGATTCTGTGCATGCCGTGGACTGATGCAAAGTGCCTTTCTTTTGAATCTTAGTCCAGACTTTGTTCATGATATCTATTAGCTCATAGAGCAACTGCACCTTAAATAGAAAAAAATCAAAGATAAATAAGTTCAGCAAACAAGTTCAGCAAACCATCAGACCTGTAGAACTATGCAAACTAAAGTTGTTAGCCTTCAGGAGGTGTGTGGAGATCTCCTGCAATTACAAATGATCTTCAGGTGACAGAGATCAGTTCACCTGTAGAAAATGGCCACATTTGAAGGTAGGTAACTAAAAGGTTGGAACAAAGAAAAAGAAAGTAAAATATAACTATGCTCATAGTATAAATGTACAAAATATTGTCTATAGTTTAATAATACATTCAGAAGTTCTAAAATATCATTTAAAACAGCAGTCCTGTGGTTCAGCATATTAAGTATCTAATCCCAATACAAAGGCAAATGTCCATCTACATATATAGTTTTAAAAGTAAATATTGTCTCCATATGCAAGAATAAATACCAAACGCATTTCAGCACCTGGCATTCCTCAGTGGTATAAGTCAAACTGAGCACTCCATTAATTTAACAAAAACATACATAAAACTGTGTTTTTATTTTAGTGTATTTCTTTTTCAGAACAGTATATTAGAATACTGAATGCAATGAATAGTGGGTAGTCTACTGACAACATTTCATCCAGCTCAAAACATGCTGTTAAGTGCCCTCCACGCCTGAGAGGAGATAATTAAGATCCTGTTACTTCCCGCAATCAGAAAAAACACCTTTAGACATTTTATCTGCTATTTGAAAAAGTGTGCCTTGCATATGAAAGCTCATACCTTGAATAAACCTTTGTTGGTCTTAAAGGTGCCACTGGACTCTTAAATTTGTTGTACATAAAACTGAACATACACAAAATGGACCTTATTCATGTTAAGAATGTTTACCCATTGAGTGAGTGGTGTCAGATTTTATTGAGATACAACATGGGCAACTCATCAAAATGTAAAATATTTCTTTTGTCCATGGATTTTTTTAGGTCCAATCTGAAACACTCAAAGCTCTAATGGAGTGCTCAGGTACAACTAGAAAATGTGCCAAAATGCTTTTGGTATTGGTTCTTGCATATAGAGACGGTATGTACTTTTAAATCTGTATTTACATAAATGGACATTTCTCTTTATATTGGGATTAGGCATTTATATGTTGAACCACAGGATAGTTGTTTTAAATGATATTTTAGAACTTCTGAATGTATTATTAAATTATATACAATATTTTCTGCATTTGCACTACATGCGTAGTTATATTTCACTTCCTTTTTCTTTGCCCAACCTTTTTGGTTGCCTTTCTCATGCAGGGTTTCTCCCCTTTTTTTGGTTGCACACATTTGAAGGTGGCTTCTATGGCATTATATTCCCTTCCCCCCCCCCCCCCCACCCCTCCCTTCTTCTCAGGCTCCACCCTCAAAATCTCCACGCATTTGCTAACCCAGAGCTGGCAATCCTAATCCAAATGTAAACAAAAATTACTAAATTGGAGAGTATTTTGATTGATGGAAATATTTTGATTGATAAAAGCACTCATGAACACTTTTATGACCTGACACAACCATGACCCTGGAAGGGCTTCCCTTTTGCATGGGTCTACAACACTCCAAGGAACCATGCAGGTGCAGAAGTGGCAAAGCCAAAACTTACACACCAAAACTGTCCAGCTCATCTGTAGTTAAAGGGAACTGGGATAATTTATGCCAGGAAGAACAGAGAGTATGGGGAGGAAGCACACATTCCCAGTGCTGGTTCTTCATGGTTAATAAGAAGTCAGCATTACATCTACCATGGCCCAGGTCCAAGTACACTTTCTAAAAACTACTCTTCTGAATCTCTGACTGGTCAATGAATTCCACTTGCCCTTTTGCCCTAATGGGCTAGCTGCTCCTGCTTGGCTGGTTGGTTGGGTTCAATATGAATTTATAAAAACGTGCCCTTTTCCTACAGGCATGGCAGCTTGGGATAGTAGATGCATATTTTATTTTAAAAATCTGCACACATACCCCAGCTTTGTGCATAGAAAAAAACCGCCCCACTTGCACTGCCCTTGTTATAGCTCTGCCAGGTTCAGCATACTAGTCCTCCTGATCTTCCATAGGCTGCAGCTGCTATTGCAGCCATAGAAAAATCTTTCACTTGAATGGTGGCAGTTAATAACAAGCCAAGACTTACAATGGAGGAACCCACTTTCTGAAAAGCTCAGAAGGCACCATGGAAAGTACTGGTAGGCACCACGGTGCCCACAGGTACCACATTGGAGAACCCTGTCTTAGAGGATACGCCAGGGCCCTGAATCACCCGGGGTCCTGTTTGCCGCACCATGGTGAGGGGGAGGGAGGGGCAGCCAAGACAATCCTTGCCAGGCAGAGGGGGTGGGCCAGCAGCAAGCACAGGAAACTTGCGCCCGCATGACCCGACACTGGCCCTATCAAAGGGGCTTGGGTGTTGGGGGGACAGGGGTGCCCTGGCTGTTACTAAAGGCACTGCACCGCCCCTCTTGCCATCTTTTCGGCATTGAGCGACTTGTCTGCAAACACATCAGTTCCTTTGAGGGTTGCAATACCTATCAATTTAACTATCACACTGCATTATTAGGGGCATCTGTAACCATTGTTACAGGTAGACAAGCTATACACAAGATGCAGAAGAAGAAATACAGAAGATGCATATTTAGGGGAGGGGGTTCTGAATAGTGAGATTGTTCCCCAAGACGCTGATCCGTGAGCTGCTTCTGCAAAGTTTTTAGAACATGCATCAGACATAAATCTGACAACATGGTTATTTTATGGATGGGCATTTTTGAGCCCCATCTTTCCAGATAGCTTAACGCATAAAAGATGTGACAGCTTTGCAACCAATGTTGCCACACAAAATATAAAGAGAGACATTTTCCTTAATATAAAGAACTGTAAAGAATTTACTTGCTAGTCTGAAATGCTTTATGACATTGGCTGCATTCGATTATACAGGGGTGGTGTTTCTATTTAGAATGTTGGTGGCAATGTCTCCAAAGCGAACTGTTTGATCATTCCCATATACAATCTAATAAGAAAAAGCCAGTATTGGTGTGAGGTCTTTTTTATTCTTAATTTTGGCAATACTTCTTAAATGTTATGGTAGTTTTGGTTACTTCAAAATTAGAAGTGCAATGCTTCTTTTTTAACAATGCTGCTTTCTAAATGCTTCTTTTTTTAAAAAAAATGCAGGCATCCCACTCAAATTTCTTATGCTAATACCAAGTTTGGTTCTGCATAAGCATAACCAGGGTCGCTATTTTGACAGACTAGGCAGTCAAGAGATTGTAGTATTACAAAAATATTAATGGCTTGTCTAAAAATTACAGGGGGTCCAATAATTCCCAGTCACAACCACTTTAACTGAGTTTGTGTGTGTCCTCTATAAAGTTAATATCTTTGCTACCTGGCATTACATTTTATGACATACGTGGCCTGGCCCAACAAAGTCCTATTTATATCAGATCCAGCCCTTGTAGCAAATGAGTTTGACACCCGTCTTAGAGATTTCTATCAGCAACAATGTGTCTTAATAAAGTTTAATAAAACTAGCTTAGTTTCCTGGAAGTTAGTACTTTCTTCCTGTATTTGAATACTTCCCTTGTGGGATTATAACTATCCCTTTTTTACTCTTGTTTTTACTCTTTTACTCAGTTTCCCTTTTCACACAAACCAGGAGTCTCTTTTGAGCTGGACCCTCTGAATAACTGGGTAAGAAATATCCTCTTTCTAGGAGCAATAATCCTTTTCTGTTAGGCAAGACTGGCAGTTTTCAATCTACTCTCCAGCCTGTCAAACCTATACCCCAGTTCTGGAGACTGTAAATAAATAAAAATCAGCTACAGCTGACACTTAGACTTTTAAGTTCTGATTTCTGGACTTTTCCGCAAATGTACACGCTAAGGGTAAGGAGTTGTGTTTCTTCACTTCTCAAGTAGCTTGTCTATTTCCCTAAGACTGACACATACCTTCCTCCTGATTAACAACTGCCAAGCCAAAGTCCAAACGAACAAGGACCAAAAAGGGGTAAATCATTTCTACCATTCCAGCCTAACTGAAAGCTCTTTTTCATGCCTACCTCATCTCCTTAGGAGGAAGACACAAAATGAGAGGTAACTGCTGTTATTCCAGCAAACTTTTTATTATAAAACTAATTGCTGGGTGAAGCGGGCTGGCAGCAGAGGCTTTGGCATCCACCAGGGTGAGGGCTTTTTCAGTTGTACCCCCATCCTGGTGGAATGCCCTCTCAGATGAGACCTGGGCCCTACAGGACCTCCCTAGGTTCCGCAGGGCTTGTAAAGCTCTGCCCCACCTCTTTAATTGTTACACATTAGGTTAATGTCAACAAAATATGGCTCCTAAATTTTATTATTATGGAAGCTATCGTTTAAAAATACATTTTAAAGGATCATATAAAAAGATTAAAGTATTCAAACTACTGTTAACTGCATATAAGACTCAAAGCCAAGGAAATTTTATATAATTCCCTGCTACAGTCTCAGCTGTAAATCCAAACAGCTTTTATAGTAGTTTAATTACATCTCTGCTGTTTTGGTGGCATATTGCAGCTGAAATACTAGTTTACACAAAGTAACTGCTATCCTGAATGGACAGAAGAAAATGGAGAATGAGGAAATTGCTTGGTTAATACTACAGAGAAAGAGTCCTCTGTTAGCTGTGGCATAGCTGAAATGTGAATCAGAGATGCTTCAGAATTTATGTTACGACTGGGTTTATCACAGATCAACTAGTTATTTGCCACAGTAAACATGAAAGGGAGCTTTAGTTCTCTAAACAGTTGGTGACATGCAAGGAACACGCACTAGGAAACTGCAGTTGTCTGTCATTTGTCATGTGCCCAGTGATTCAGCAATTTTTTGCCTTTTAGTGAATACTTTTTTGAAGAAAAAAATTATTCACTTTTGCATGGTATGCGACCACATTTTAATCAAAATCACAACTGATACTTCAAGGAGAACTTCTGAGAGCACAAGATGATGCACAGAAAACTGGTGACCAATGATGGCACTTATGCAAGTAGAATCTTCCTCTGGGTGCAACAGAAGCAAATACAAAATTGCATGGTGGGAAGGAAGTCGTAGAACTTGCTTGCCTTTCAAGACATATCACTGTCACTTGCATTTTTAAGCCTGAAGCATTTTCTAGTTAATGGAACTTAATTGAAAGACCACATAAAAGTTCTGTTTCCAAGCAACAAGAGTTACGCATGTTCTGTCTGCAACCTTATGGATCCTCCTTTTTATAACAGACCAATCCAGGGGAAATCTCCTTTTCCTTGACCCAATTCTGGTCCTCTTTTCCTGCACTGAGCTATGCTCTGCTGTGGCCTCTTTTCCTGCACTGAGCTATGCTCTGCTGCTTCAGATACCAGTTCCCGGAACTGTGACAAAGCAGCTTCTTATTTGATGGCTGAGATCTGGAGACCTTTTTACAGACCTTATTTCATGACATTTAAACATAACTGAGATCAAATTCAATTAAAATTACCAGTGCAGAGCCACATATCAAAGCCATCCAAATGTTGGACACTTAATCATGACAATCTGAGCATAACAGTAACCCCTCTCCCACTGTTGTGGGCCAGCGTGACCAGCATGAGTCCAGTGTGGCTGAAGACTCCTCAGGAGTCAAGGAGCCACATGCAGCCAGCTCTGAATCAGCTAAAGTTGGTGAATAAGAGATATAGGAGCCTCAAGATTCATTGCCAGCAGCTGACCTTGACCCACCCACCCACAGTTCTGAAGTAGCCCATCAGGCTCCCCTTCGTTAATTGACCAGAGAAGGGAAAGGCTCCGACAAGACTTAAGAACACGCAGACAGAGTGCTCGCCTCTTGGCTCGGTGCCAGACACTTGATGATAGCAGTTCTGAGTAAGTGCAGGAGCACCTCCAAGCAGATGGCTGTAAATCAGGCTTGTTAAGGAATGCCTATATAAAGCAGACCTGAAGAGCTGCAGATTGTGGAAAAAACCTGTCAGAACACTGTGAACTTTGTGACCACAGCTCTGGACTCTGCCTGCCTCCTGGGACCTTTGGACTGACCCTCTACTCTGCTTTTTGCAACTGCCTGAACCTTGCTTATAAATTATCTTGGACTGCCTGAACCTTGCTGATCAATAACCTTGGACTGCTTTGACTCTGCTTTCCTGAACAACCCATAATCTCTGCTAAACTGCTGCTAAACTGGTATTTGACCCCTGGACTGGACCCTTGGACTGGACCCTTGACTGTGATCTAGTTCTGTTGCCTTGCTCTGTGGCCTAGCTCTGTTGCTTTACACTGCCTGTATACCAGGACACTCACTTATTGTCCTCTTTCAGAGTACCACTATTTTCCTTGAAAGGTTTCCATGCTAAACTGTAGAAGGTATGTGTTAATTTGCACAAAAATTACATTAGATCATTTCATTAGATGCATCCATAGTGACAGCAAAGCAGGGCCCCAACATTTAACAGTACATCTGCAAGTGATTTCATTCCATCAGCCAAAAGATGCATTTATGTACCATAGCTATTACACTTTGAAACGAATTTAAATTACAAAACTTGAAAGAGCTTCAAAGTGAATCTTAATCTAAGTACCCTGATCTTGATGGCTCAGTTTTTAGGGACCAGGGGGAGGGGGGGATGCTTAAAAGAAGTGAACTTTCCCCAAAAATACAACAATCTTTAAATCAAGCAATTTTTAATTTACCCTAATAAATCAAATAAATGTACCAACCTGAGGATTGGAGCATTTTACTTCTAGTGACTCAAGGTCAACATGAAGGCATACAACAAACGAGTGCCTATATTCAGACCCTGCAGCAAGCAGTTTTTGTGAAGTGACTGCCAAAGTAGAAGTGCAGCCCATGGGCTCTATTAAGTTAAGGGTCATTTGCTGCCCGAGGAGTGTGTAGATACTGAAATGATCGAGGCTGATTGTCCAAGGGAAAGCATCACCTGGTGATTCAAGAGCATAGAAAAACAAGACATTAAACAGATACAGAAATAAATTCAAATGTACCAAACTAAAAAACTCGTGGCTGGATTAATACTGTACAAAGTCTAATAAAAATATCTGTGCAAGAGCTTGTGTATCTGCCTACTCATACTACCATCAGCAGCATTTTCTGAATGGAACACAGAATTTACAAAGCTGACATTACCCTTTTTTATTTTTACCATGTTCACATATACACTGCCTGTATGTTTGCAACTATATTCCAGAGTTTTAGTGCATCTGTTCAAGTGATGAAAGTCAGCTTTTTAATAGCAATCAGGCATGATATTGCTAATACTTTTGTCCTACAGATTTCAATGGGAGACTTTTAAAGACAGGCATCTCCCTTCAAACAGGACATTAAAATGCTTTCTCTAACCGGATCATTCCCTTCATTTAAATACTTTTCCCGTAAAAAATTAATTATTAGGATTCAGAAACAAATAACTAAAAGTTCCTTCCTTCCCCACTGTAACTACAAAGACTAATATATTTGTGATGTGTTAATAGATCTTCAGAACTGGGAATAAATGCTAGACATACTGTTACCATTTTTACTGATTGCTTTGCTAATATATCACTGGCATGTATACATTATACCTTTCTAAGCACTTAAATTCCTGCTTCATATTAGGTGAGGATTGGAACCAATGATTAAAGTAAAAAAGTGTCCTTATCACGAAACACACAACAAGCTTTTTCAATGAAGATAGTACTGGAAACTGAATGAAGTCTCCAAATATATGTACTGCAGCATCATCCAAAACATAAGCTACAGGGATTTATTATACTGGAAGTTTATCTAGCCCCCCCCCCCTTTTGGCTTTCAATCAGACTTTTGGGTTTTGTGCAATTTCTACCGCGTGAGTGCCAAGAACATTAGGTAGTAGTATTTGGAATGATGAAGTGCATGGCCACAATAGGATTCAACTTTTGTTTTGATCCATGTACACAGATTAGCACTAGCTTTACGTAAGTATCATTTATTGTGAGGAATATGAAATGAAAGGCAAGAGCAGAGGGAGGACCTGTACAAGGACAGTGCTGGTTTCAGCCTGAGAGTGTAAACAGATTGTGAACAACACATAAGCCCTACATTCTAAACCCTGGCTCTGATAATTATGGAATCTGTCCTTCAACATGCTGAACAGTCTGCTACAGTCAAATAATATGGACCTAAGCCTTATGATATTAACACTGGGGCCATAACAGTTTTTGTGCACTGATGAAGGACTATCTGCAGTTAGATATCTGCAGTTCTAGTCTGGATGTCTGACGTTAAAACCTTGTCCTTAGACCTACACATACTTCAGTCTCATCATTTGTAATATAGGACGACTAGTATAATAATTTTTTTACCTTACAATTTTAACTTAATTTATTATTTTCAGTATTAGTATAATACTGTGAAAAGACTGGAGCACATTTCAGAAATGGAGATTAGTTCTGTGAAATGACAGCTTGAAGAGATGAACATTTTTGCTACAACTTACTGCCTCATTTCTTTGACAATAACAAAATTTTCAAAATATGGTTACTGCATTTAATTTTTTCATATTAGAAACAGTTAATAAGAAGACTTTTAAACTGCTCTTCGCAAATATAGAATACAGACAAAATTTATATTTAGAGCTAATACAGAAGGTTAAGAAATTAATGAACAAATAATTTAGTAGCAAAGACAGAGCTGTTTGCCAAAGATTGCCATCTTATGACACTGGATCAGCATACTGTGAGAATATATTTACAAGAAGAGGTGTTATTAACATTGACAGTTCAAACAATTTATTATATAATTACAGCAGATACTTTACAATACTAGACTATAACAGTTCCATCCCGTATTTGCACTGTTATGTTGAAGACTGAGAAATTACACGATCAGGCAACAGAAAATATTGTAGCATATAATACTTGAGAGTGAAATACTCTACCTTCTTCAAGAACTGGTCTTTGCACAACAAAGGGAATCTCTTGTAGGGGCTCCATGTACTTGTGGCCAGCACTCATAATCTTTACTTGGGGCAAGCAAAGAACAAGAGTCCCAGGCATACTTGCCTGCCCATGATACCAGCTTCGGACAGTCCCAGGAATATCTCCAGAGACAATTGTACTAGGAGATGGTAGGCTGTCATTTGGAATGAACACACAACAGGACTGTAGTTCAAGCTGGAAAACAAACACACACCCATAATAGGAATCTCACATGCAGACCACTGGAAGATGTATTTATTGTATCTGTAGATATAAATATCACACAACATCAAGAACCAAAGTCAGTTGTACAATGACCTACAAATGATAGCCTCAATTTAAAATGAAGGCACATGACAGCAGGTATTTTTGCATTTCTGTAATTTACATTTAGAAAAAGTAACACCTGAAGGGGTGTCATTTCAGTCTATAAACTTGTTCATGGGGAAAAAATTGGCACAAAAAGCTGAACATACGTTCTACCTTCCCACACCTCTTGCCAGGAGACATGACTGAATCGGAAACAGAAAGAGAGAATCTGCCTCCTTTTTGCAGTTCATTAGCAATAGCTAAGGATTTAGCTCTAACTAGTAATTCACATATTGTTACATTCAGTGAGGATCCTTAAGTAAAGATGAATCCTTTCAGTAAGCATTCATCATCTGTACTTAAAAATCCTCACTGAAAGTAACAGTGTGTAAGTTACTAAGATCTGAATGCCTGCAAAATGGAGTATGGAGTACAATTTATTCTTGGAAAAGATCAGAACTAATGTAATTAATTTGGATAATTCTGAATATAAGCAGCCCTGTACCTAAGGGGGAAAATAATACAACATAGAAGAAAATTTGAGTCCAGTGGCACCTTTAAGACCAACAAAGTTTTATTCTGGGCATTTGAAAAAGTTTAAATGTGCACAAAAGCTTATATACAGAATGAAACTTTGTTGATCTTAAAGGTACCATGGGAGTCAAACTTTATTCTGCTGCTTCAGACCAACATGGCTCACCCATCTGAAACTATTTTAAGAAGAGAAGAAGAGATTGGATTTATACCCCACCCTTCATTACCAGGAGTCTCAGAGCAGTTTACAATCTCCTTTCCCTTCCCTTCCTCACGACAGACACCCTGTTAGGTAAGTGGGGCTTTTGAGAGCACATAAGAACAGCTCTGAGCACATAAGAACGACTGACCCAAGGTCACACCAGCAGCTGCATGTGGAGGACTGAGGACTCAAACCCGGTCCCCCCAGATTACAGTCCACGCTTCTAACCACTACACCAAGCTGGCTCTCTTGTTCTATTATTTTTAAGCCATTCATACTTTTTCAATGTTTATTTCAATGTTTATTTACTGTCCAAGACCAATGATCAAAGAGATACATATTCATTATGTACCAACAAAATTGCTTTCAGCTTAAAAGATATTTAGAAATATAACCTTAAAATCATTAAAAGTTTAAAAATCCATTGTATCAAAAATTATAAATTATCTACGACTGAACTAATTTTGAGTAATGTGGAAGGTAGATAGGGTTATGCTTGATCTACTTTGTTGTGGAATTTTACCAGATGTGCACAGAATTTAGCTATTTGTCTACAGATTTGCTGATTTTCCTCAATCAAAAGTCTCTCAAGATCAACACTATCTGCATCAAGTGCTGGTCTATCTAAGAGGGGGGTGATAAGTTTGTCCCTGTAAGCTTGATGAAAAGGACAGCGGAAGAACATGTGGAGCATCGATTCCCCTTCTCCCATAGAACATGAGCAGCACCTGTCTTCATATGGTATCTTTCTATATTTCCCCTCTAGGGCCTTAGAGGGAATAGCCGCACAACGAGCCAAGGTAAAAGCTCTTCTGTAGGATGGTACATCCAGATAAGTCAGGTATTTAGCCATATTCATTACATATCTAGAGTCATTGTGGACCAGGAAGGAAGGAGCTCGATTTAAATCCCCTTGGCGCTCCAGATCACAAATCCTTTGTTTAATTATACTTCTCGCCTGTATACTATTTTGTGCCAATAAATCCTCAGGCAAGAGTCCCATCTTTTCTAGATTAGTCTTGGTCCTTTGGATCCACCTTGGCTGATAAGAATCTTTATTTATTGGGGGAGAAGTCCTTTTGTATTTGAATTGATCTTGAGCCATTGATATGCAGAGGATACCAACACTCTAGCTTCTATTCTCATTAGACTGGTTTCTAGGCGTAAAAAGGCATTTGACACTCCCGAGGGAACCTGTAAGACCTTGTGAATGAATCTGGATTGAACCTTCTTAAGAGCACATAAATTAGTGGCAGAAATACCCAAGTAAGTACCGTACAGGAGCTGTGCTAATACTTTAGCTTAAACAACTTCAAAGCTGCCGGAACGTACAGACCTCCCTTAGATGGATAGAATCTCAAGACAGTGTGTAGTGTTTTCTCAGCTTTTTCCACCATCATATTACAGTGTGCTGAGTTAGCTCCTGATTCCTGAAAGGCCACACCCAAGTAAACAAATTTGTTTACTTGCTCAATTTGGTTTCCTTTCATTGTCCACAGATACTTCTTGGGACGTCTACCAAATGCCATCACTGTTGTTTTATCGTAGTTTATCACCAGGTGTTCTTTCTCGCACTATGTTACGAAGCAACCTAATGCCCTTCGTAACCATTCATATTTAAATAGCTAGATGAGTTTTTTAAATGTAAATTTTAGTGGCATCTTCACTGTGCCAGTTCTTTGACTTTAGGAAAACGTATCTGATCATTTTTTCATAACTGCAACCCAAAGAGCTGATTGTATATGCTGCTCTTTATTTCTTCTCAACTTGAAAACAATAAACGCACATTGCATACACATTGTTACACTGCAGGTCATATCTAGTCTGCTGGTGAACTAGCTCCCATTTGGTACAATTTGTATTCATAGAGGAAACTAGAATTCACAAAGGGTAGATTGCCACCAATGACTGCACATAGCTGGGTTATCGCTGGAGCCACTGGGCTGTCCCCTAGACTGTCCTTCCAACAGTGCCTCGCAAGGGCACTAAAGACATGTAGGACTGAAATACTATAAACAATGTGCCTGCTTAATAAACACTACCTAGTTATTTATCTCTATTCCAGTTTTGCTTAGATAAGATGACGAAGATTTACTGTAGATAAATAAGCTAGATTTGCAAAAATAAATACATTGCCACATGTAGTCTGTGTTTGTTTCTAATTTTAGGGCTATTTGGAGTTGAAAGACAATGTTAATTACATTTTTTATAAGTATTTATTGATCTAAGTGTACAGAATGTACTTTAAGCTGAAAAAAAGAAACTGTGTATTTTACAGGTTTATGTAGTCAAAAGCCTACTGCAATGATGTTTGCAGTGACACGAGTATATTTTTGGCTCATTAGGAACTGATGGCATGGTTGCAATATATAATCAACACATCTTGTCTTCCAACAATATGCTAAATGAGTAATATTTTAATTAAAACCCTCTTTGTTATAGCTTAGAAGACACATCTCTTTCATCTTATGAAGTTACGACATGCATAAAATAGTCCACAGATACAATTAATTGACCATGACCGAAATGATAGTCATAATCAGGAATCCCAACAACTTTTAAAACAAAAATGAGCAAGAAGAAGAATTCTAGTCAGCCTTCTTTGTGGCTGTGCTAGATTTTTCTACTTGTAGAGGACTGTTGCTTCTGTCTCTTCTACAGAAGGGGACTTTAGTAACGCAAGGGTTGAAACCTACCATTTGCTTCCACTCAGTCCAAGGAACACCTAAGAAAGTTTCCAAGATGAAGGAGGCCTGCCCATCAATAAATAAATGATGGGGCCCAGGGTACGTCAGCTGAGATGAACATCGCTTATTACATTCCATTGTATGTCCACTGCAATAGACTTGAGACCCAAGAGTAGGGATGTGCATTCGGTTCGTCCGAACTGAATGCACCCCCGAAAATGGTCTATTCGGACCCATTTTGGGCTGCTGCAGGCCGATTCACTGATCTGAATCGGCTTGCTGTCCAATTGCCGCCGAATTTCGGCGGCAATTCGACCCCATTATATCCTATGGGCCATTGAAGTCAATGGCGAAAACATAGGGTATATTCTGGGGGCTGGAGGGGAGGGGGTTTGAGGGAGAGGCTCCAACTCACATGGTAGCTGCTGGAGCCGCTCCCCAAGATACCAACCAAATTGGAAGAACATTGGACCAGGGGATCCAATTTTACGGGCCCCCAAACAGGTTGCCCCTATCCCCTCCATTGTTCTCTATGGTGGGAAAAAGTAACTATTTTCCCACCATAGAGAACAATGGAGGGGATAGGGGCAACCTGTTTGAGGGCCCGTAGAATTGGACCCCCTGGTCCAATGCTCTTGAGATATAATGGGGCTGAAATTGACATTCGGCTGGCCAAAAGACTCCCAAATGGGCTGGTAATGATGAAACTGACATGCGGGAGCCTTACTGCCATCCGAAATTGATTCTGCCGATTCGGCCAAATCCGAACGGGCTGAATTTTTTTTTTTGGCACACCCCTACCCAAGAGGAAGGAAAGCAAGTGCTCCTTCATCCTCAGGAACAGGGCAAGAGGGCTCTGGAGATGGATGGCAATGCATCCTGAAGGCTTCTGAGATGCAGCAGTTCCACCTCGAGTGGGTCCTTGCCCATCAGGTCCCATGGCAACTTCCAGGCAATAGAATTCTGAAGTGGTCCAACACTATATTTGATGAACTTTGGGGATGTGTCTAGGGCCCTGGGATAAGGAAAAAGGGATTGAAGGACAGCAAAAAAACCCCTTTCCTTCCTCTCTCTGCCCCACAGCCTCTTCTCCCTTGGGAAGGGAAAACAGACAAAATTTCCTCAACCCTCTGCCTTCCCCCACCATCAGTTCCTTACAAATAATCACTTGTTTATACCTACAATATAAAAGTCTGGAGAACATGAACAGTTTGGATTTCTTTTTTGTAACTTTATTGCATCAGAAATATTGAATAGTAAGGTATTACAATTAAAATAAAAGGAACTGTGGCCCCGCTTGAATCACAATACATTTTAATATTTTAGTTGGATGTAACTTTCATCAGCACATCTGAAGCCAAACTACAGTTGATGGACATGCTGTGTTTGCTCTAATTTTAACCTCCTTGTATGAAATGCATGAAAAATCCCAGGAAAATCATGATCTATTTGGCATATGCTGC